TTTCTGTTCTGACCTTCACCTTCAGCCACATCCAGTCTCCTTCTCAACCGCCATCATCCTCTGACTTTCCCTCTAACCTCCAGCCAGCCATTCTTCACTTCTCACCAGCTTTCTTCTTCCTACATCTGAATCTCCTCCAGGTCCTTCTCCCCATCTTGTTTTTTGTTGTCTTAATTCTTACCCCATAGCTACCTCATATCTTCCAGCCTCTGTCCATACCATCCACCTTAACTATTACTATCTGGCCTACATTGTATCCATAATTCCCAGATACTTGCTTGTTCTTCATTTTGATCACTCCTTTCCATGCCATTCTCAAAGTCCTTCCTCCCGACCCACATGGTTCCTTTTCCTTGTTTACATGATGGCTTCCTCGTTCCTGCTCTCTTCCTGTCTGTACCCTTCCCAAGATCCTCTCTGTCCTCCAAGCCCTCAAACCTTAGCTCTGCTAATCTCAACTTTGCCTTTCTCAGGTCGACTTTTTATTGGTTAAACAGAAGCAATATCTAAGGCAAGGTCTATATAAGGACAGGTGTATGTGAAAATGTGCTCATCCAGGCAGGGTCCAGTAATTAGCATTAAAATACATAGCACCAGACCAGCCCCCAATAATATTATTAAACATCTGTCATTTCTGCCACTCAGCAGCTATATTGGAATAGCATTGGTTTGTCTCCAAAAGACAAGCTCATCTAAGTCCTATAGGTATTGGTACTTGCTGGCCCTGGTGAGGAGATGGAAGTAGAGCTCATGTATAATGCTCATGGGGATCTGGAAGGAAAAGAAAGAGAAGTCCCTTCTTTCCAAAGCGTGGCATTCTTTGAGTTTATAATTAGCACTTATAAGTAGTTTCTATTTTTATATTTTTTATTATTTTAAGCCATTTTAAAATTTAAATATATTTTCATCATATTCTTCCTCTCCCCAAAGTTCTTCCAGATTTTTTTCTGCTCCCTACCCACCCTACACTGTTTTTTTTCCTAAAAAAAAACAAAAAACAAAAAACACAAACACAAAACAACAACAAACGTGCAAAACCTAGAAATCAAAACACAACATCACCCAATAAAGAAAAAACCAAAACAAAAACAAGCCACTCAACTGTAATCAGATCAAAGCACCCCAAGAAACTGTTGCATTTATTATCTGTGGGTCCACTACTCCTGAATGTGTGACCTTCCCTGGAGTGGGTGAGAATCCGAGTGTCACTCCATTGGAGAAAACTAGTTTTCCCTCTCCCAGCAGGTATAAATGACAGTTCACTGTTAACCTTCACCCTAGTGGCTAGGTTTCCATTAATTAATTAATTCATTTGTACATTCATTTAAAAAAATATAACGAGACAAAACAAAAACCATCACATGGAAGCCAGACAATACAGACCAACAGAAGGAAAAGAACCCAAGAGAGGGCACAATAACCCGAGACAAACGTCTTCTCATGGCTAGGAATCTCATAAAAACACTAAACTGGACACGATAATATATAAGCACACAGGACCTGGTACATCCCTGTGCAGGCACTGTGCATGCTACTTCAGACCCTGTGAGTTCATATGAGTTTTGCTCATGCTGATGAAGACAGCGTTGTTTTCTTCATGCCCTATATCTCCTCTGGCTCTTAGGTTCTTTTTGCCTCCTATTCCACAGGGTTCCCTGAGAGGCTCTCTGAGAGAAGACATTCCATTTGTTGGAGACATCCCATTTAAACCTGAGGCTTCAAGGTTTCTCACTCTCTGCATTAATATCTGGCTGTAGGTCACTGTATTTAAAGAATACAGTATTTTTCACTATTTTACAGTATTTTTCTTCATTGAGATTGTCATGTCTGCATACATGTATTTTGATCATATTTATGGCTCACACTTTCCCCTCAATCCTTCCTGATCCACCCTCACCACTCCCAACTTTATGTGTTTGTAAAACAATAAAATAAAAAGATTATTTTAGGGACCGGAGAGATGCCCAGTGGTTAAAATCACTGGCTGCTCTTCCAGAGGACCCTGGGTTCAATTCTCAGCACCCACATGGTAGCTCAGAATGGTCTGTAACTCCTGTTCTAGGGATCAGATGTCTCTTCCGGCTTCTGCAGCATGATATGGTGCACATACAGAGTGCAGGCAAATTGCCCATAAACATGTAATAAGAGTAAACATTAAGGATGAACACATATAGCATAATATACTACAGAAGGGAAAACTTACTACTGAAAACACTGAACTGGTGGATGTTTACCTACTACATGTCCCCGCTGGTGTAAAAAATGGGTTTTTCTCTAATAAACCATATAACAATAAATAATTATGAGAATTTTCAGGTAAAAATTACATTTACAAGGTCCAGTCCATTTGTATTTGGCAATCTTGGAGAAAATATTCCACTATCTATCCTATCCTGGTGTCCAGTGTTCTCCTAAATCACTTTCTCATCATACCTTACATTTATCAACCTAAACCATGTTTTTAGATTCTAACCAACTTAAGCTTTACTGTAGCTATAACTATCTAGTCTTCAGCCCCACCAGAATTGAGAAGAAAATATTACCCAAGATGCAGGAAGTGCAGGCAAGCAGCTCCCAAAAGTACAGAAATAAGAGATAATTTACTGCCTGGACAGTCACTAAAGGATTCTTGGTGTCCTTGGGGTGTCTTCGGCCTACTGGCCCAGAATAACTGACAGACTGTTGTGTGAAGCAGGAATTCTAAAAGCCTGGCCTACCCAGTCTCTGCAATGTTGGATACTCGATTTCCTAGGGTCGCGCTTTTGTTCGTAGTTTGGGCACTCAGCCTGCTATCAGCAGCCAAGATAAGAACAGTCTTTGTGCAGTGGCTATCACGCCACCTTTGATTCTTTGATGCCCATCATCTTCCCTGAAGGAGATTGGAGGTGCTGCCAGGAACAGATGTGTCTCTGTCAGAAAAGCCTTTTATTATTAAAACATCATCAAATGCCATATTCTGTAGATCTCTGAGGTTTTTGGAGATCATCTATCTATCCATCCATCTATCTTATCTCAATTGTTTCTATCTATTTTTATCCATCAGTCTAGGAAACATATTTTTGTAATTAACTAAATTAGTATCTAACATAACCATGAGTTTGATTGTCTGACTGCTAATATGCATTTTTAATTATATGAAACAGTTGATAATAGCAGCTTTCAAAGTGACAGGAACTTAACATTGTATTTTTAAAAATCACATGGGTACAATACTTTAGCCTGTTGTAACCAAATAATATCTTAATTCTGTATCAACATACAGAGATTTATAGCATGTAAAATCTCTGGCTCACTAGTAGCCTTTGGTCTAACAGTAGACTCAATAACGGACCCTTTTACTTGTCACTTCTATAACCGACCCTTTTAAGAATTTTAGTTTTGTTTTTCAAAACAGGATTTTTCTGAGTAACCTTGGCTGTCTTGGATTCACTTTGTAGACCAGGCTGGCCTTGAACCCACAGTGATCCACTTGCTTCTACCTCCCAGAGTGCTGGGATTATAGGTGTGTGCCACCATGCCCAGCAACCACTCCCTTTAAAACAATAACAAACATCTATCACCCGTAGAATGACCAAAAACTTCTACCCCTACCCCTGCCTCTTGGAAATGAGGAGTAGTTTTCTTAAATTGCTTTATGCTGATTTGAGACATAGTTTTTCTTTTTTTGTGTGTGGGGGGGCAAGAAAATTGGATATTGTCCAGGCTTAAGAAAGTTAGCTGTAGCCCATGGCAGTTCAGTGTCCAAGTGGGTTACATAGTAAAGGGAAGAGGGACTGCCTCTGACATAATCTGATTGGCCTGTTCTTTGATCACCTCCCCCTGAGGGGGGAGCAGCCTTACCAGGCCACAGAAGATGACAATGCAGCCACTCCTGATGTGATCTGATAGACTAAGATCAGAAAGAAGGAGAGGAGGACCTTCCCTATCAGTGGACTTGGGGAGGGGCATGCATGCAGAAAGGGGAGGAAGGGTAGGGTCGGGAAGGGAGGAGGGAGGGTTTATGGGGGGATACAAAATGAATAAAGTGTGATTAATAATAATAATAAAAAAGAAAAAATAAAACATAAAAAAAAGAAAGTTAGCTGTAACTTTTGCTTTCTAGTCTCTGCATGCCGAAGGTTCAGAGCGTAACTGAAGTCTTGACTGGAAAAACTTGTGATGATGGACAATCTAGCTAGCCAGTTTGAAACTGTCCCAGATGCAGTTCTTTGAGGAGGTCTTGAGGTTTTATCACCTGGGATATTTGTCTTGTCTTTTTTTGTGTCTGGTCCTCTTGCTCTGCAAATATTAACTTTCAAAGGTATTATGCATTTTTTGTATTAATATATGCATGGACTGTGCACTGAGTACAGTTCAGTTAAAGATGATCCTTTGCTCTCTGTTTGAGCAGGTAAAGCTTTTTTAAAAATATAAGTTAGTGTGGACTGTATAACCAAATTAGAAAATAATTTTTTATCTGTGCCATCTAAAAGAATGGCAAGATAAATCCTGGGGAATTTGTAGGCAAAGATTTAATGGCCATGCATGGGTGAAGTCCTGGCTGGAGACATTTTCATTTCTTGGTCAGTTTCAGAGCTATTCCCATGTTATATTCCGATGGATACACATGCTGAAGCGCTATCAGCCCCAATTTGCAAGGGCATCTCCAAGACAGAATGGGGGGATAGGTCTAATCAGGAAGTTGTGAGCTTCTGCCTTAGAAACTGCAGTTGCTCACCTAATAAACAGAACTAAGAAACTGTTTTCTGTTTAAGTTTAGATTCTGTGTAAGTTCTGGCTAGATTTATATAAGTTTGTCCAATTTGGTATGCCAAAATGTTAAAATCATGTTTATAAAACTTTGTTTCTTAGTTTCTTTCTTAACCTGGAGACCACACAAATAATTGACACTCTATTATACTATTTTAACAAGCTTCACAGCACAAGAGCTGAGCAGTTAATTTATTCTTCACCCTCTAAGCTAATTTGGCTTCCTCCCAGCATACATCCCAGAGATATTTGTACTTTGTAGCTTTTTATATGCCAGTTCTCTATCTTGATGTCTCCTGGGCTTCTTCCACTGTTCAGTCCCCTACTTCCTCTGAATCCTCCTCCCCTGGCTGACAGAAACTTCAGCCCTATTCTCCCCACTGCTCAGCTATTGGCTGTAAGCTGCTTTATTGACATATTAGGATACAATTGGGAGCAGTCTTTATATTGCATTCAGACAGGAGATTCTCAGAACAAGAATTACAAGCAGACATGGAGGAGAGGGTGTACAGAAATCAGCATTTGAAACACACAATAAAGTTATGCCTACAAGATCTGGATATCCTGTTTCCTGTGCTTGGGTACCTGTTGGTGGTTTTTTTGTTTTGTTTTGTTTTGTTTTTTCAGATCTCCAGTTCATATAGTTCCATGTTAAGAGAAAACTCCCACCAGGAAGCAATAAGATAAAAAATACCAGGTGATAAGAAAGGACCCAAAGTGACTAGCACAGAGTGGAAAGAACATGAAATGCTAGATCAGCAGCATGACGATTTGTCTGGTTGAGGTTGACGAATAGGGAGAGAGGCTGCAGCAGTTGAACTTTCATGGCTTTCCCGTGAGCATCTTCAACCTGCAGCAAGGAAACACGTCTTTTGAAGGCTCTGAGGACAGTTTGGGTCAGTTCTCTTGGGTGACCTGAATCACCACCCCAGCCACCCTCCTCCCATCATTCCCCTTCTCCCATCTCTCCTGGGCTCTACATCCTAGAACATCTCCTGTCTTCCTCCCTCAATCGCTGCTGCAGAACATGGAAGTTCAGGATAAAGCAGTAATGACTAGCTGTGCTCCCTGACTCAGGGCCTGATGAGAGGATCCAAACGAGCTTGGAGGAGCCCTATGCAGAGAGGATCCTGGGTCCTGGTTGTCCAGACCGTGAGTGGGGTCTGAGACATCTCTTCTGCTTCATTCTAACCCTCTCAACAAGTGAGAGTGGCACACAGCTGTGGGTGTGGCTGTCCCTGCCCCACCTTGTCCCTCTGTGCAGTCCAGACAGGAGCAGTGGCCTCCAACAGCAGCTCAGTCCCACCTGCCTCCAGTGGGAACCCTGCCCCCGGCGGCGGCAGCTGCGTGATTCGTTTCTGTGTGTGTGAGTGTTAGCCTGCATGTGTGTCAGGCACTGTGTGAATGCCCGCTGTCTGTGGGGAAGAAGGGCCTGGAACCCCTGGACCTGGAGCTGTAGATGGCCATGAGCTGGCGTGTGGGTGCTGGGAACAAACCCTGGTCTGATGTAGGAGCAGCAGGTGGTCTTGCCAACTCCTTATTTTATCTTCTTTATCACCGTCTGTGGAATCCTCTTCCCTCTACACATTAGTCTAAAAACCACCTCCTTCTCTCGTGTCTCTAGGGTCCCCACATCTGCAGCATGAGAAGCTCCTAACTAGGGACCCGCTCTAACCAGGCACTTGCTCTGTTCCCTTGTCATTCCCACTAGGCTGTGAAAGATTGCTCTCCTGTCAAGGCTGAGTACGCACAAGTTATTGCTAATAGGTGACATGAACTCCAAATTGCTTGCTTGCTTTCTCAGTAAGATGCCGTAGCTGAGGGACAAGAGCAGGTCTCCCAGAATTCACTTGTTTCCTCACTCTTTACCCATCTGTCCCTTACTCTTCTTCCAATAGTGCCCTCAGTACCTGTCATTGTAGAGGATTCTCCTCAGAAAACATGCAGGAGGAAGCAGGTGAGGATTATCAACAGGACAGAAGGGTTGGTCATGAATGCCATGGACAAAGGCTGGTCCACATCTGCAGTCGTGGGTGGCAAGGCTAAAATGAAGACACAGGTTGAGTCTTTGACCAGACCTCATATCTGGAGAAATCTCACCTTAGCTTTTGGGTCCTCAGATAATTCAGCAACACACAGACCTCCACCCCATTTGCTATACAACAACTATTAGTATGGGTCCTGAGTAGAAAAGGAGAGGGGATGTCCCTGGTCCTCAAAAGACTCATGTAGTTATGGTAGGGGAAGCAGGGTAATGAGGAGATCTCGTCTTTCCTGCTGGTAGAAGAGGAGCTGAGCTGTGAGGGTCATGGCAGAGAAGAAGAAAAAGATCAGGTGAGATGAAAATAAAAACGAAACAAAAACAAAACAAAACAAAACCAGTGACTCTAGGATGAGAAAAGTTCAGGAAGTAAAAGGATGCTCAGTCTGTGACAGCCAGAGACAGCCACAGTGAGTGACCCGTGTAAACACAATTAATGAGATAGGAGAGGGGGAGAAAGGAAATGGTAGAAAGAATGGTCATTGACCCAAGAACTAACGGTGATTAGAGAACACACACACACACACACACACACACACACACACACACACACACACCTTCAGGGAACTTCCTCCCCCTTTTCCCAGCTACCTGTGTGCTCCAGATTTTCTTCCCCGTGCACCTTGATCTCATCCAGCCAGGTCCTGCAGTCCCCTCGTGACATCTTGTTAAATAAGTGAATTACATGCCTATTTTTCTCCAATAGCCTTTTTATCCAGCTGGCTCCAGAATTGACTTCAGTCCCCTTACTAGAGACACCATGCAACATATTGCTTTTATTGATTCCAATGTCCCAGGATTCATGGAAATATCCATCTTTTCTACGCTGGCAGCATATGTTGGCCTGCAGAATGAGGGGCTCTGTGCCCATTGGAAAGAGATCAGTCTCTGGCCTTGGTGAATCCTGTCTGCTGTCCTTTCTTCCCATCCTCTTACCTCGCTCTCTACCTTCCACATTTTGGCTTGCTGCTGGACCTCCTATGTGGTACTACAGCAATTCATTATTTTTCCCTTCATGAAAACAATGACTGTCCCTAACCTGTCACAAGTTGTTGGCATAATTTTAAAAACTGTTTTATTTGTATTTCTTATGCTTCTTTCTCCCTTCTCTACCACAATCCCTTCCACCACTATCCCTTCCAACACCAGGTAGGAGAGAAAGAAGGTTAGTAGGGAGAAGGGGCATAGTTTTCTTTGGCTAGGGTCACTGGGTTTTGTGGGGCAAGCCCAACCTTCATTTCAGGATATCTCCAACTTTTTCTTGTCAAACTGCATCAATCATCAGGAGCAGCTGGGGGAGCACCAGCAGCCTTCTTCCTATCATGTGCCCTCCCCTCAAGACTCTGTGGGCTCTGGCCTTTATTCCCTCTCAGAGTCCTCAGAATTAAACTATCTGCACCTACAAAGAGCCCCTCTCAGAGCCTGCATGAGGCAAATAGTTTATAGTTTGTTGCTGTGGAAAATAGGAATCAGCCCCATATCCCACACCTGAGATAAAACAAAAACATGTTTACAATAACATAACTGAGGTTTTAAAGACTGCAAAACTTTCCACTACAGCAAATCCTGTTCTTTCCTTCAGGAGCCATCTGATAAGTTCTTTTAGATAGTTTGTAGCAGTGGAGATTGAACGTAGGGACTCATGCATGCCTGCCAGTCCCTCTAACACTGACTACGCCCCCAGCCCCATGGGGCCATTTGAAACTTACTTCTGATTGTATTAGTTTCCTGCCCAATGTAAAGGAGCTCTCTGATCAAGTTAATTGCATCTCTCAGAGGCTCAACCTGTGTTTCACAGATATTTCTGAGATTCGGTCTGTTCCTCCAAACACCAAAGACATGACACTTGTTATTGGTATAGAGAAGAATAGTCTTTCTGTTCAGTTGGCCTATGACTTCGGAACTCCATTGTCCAGACTCTGACCTGCCAACAGTGAAGCTGTAGCAAAGAGAAGCACCATCTGTGAAGGAAACATGCAGTGAGGTTAGGAGGGGGAGTGAGGGACTCAGAGACAGTCTCTGCCTGGGGCATGAAGAAAGTTCTTCTGAAAGGGTGTCTTTAAAAAAGAAAGAAAATTTTGATGGGAATTGCACTGAATCTTCAGATTGCTTTTGGTAAAATGGCCATTTTTACTATGTTAATCCTACTGAGTCATAAACACAGGAGATCTTTCCATTTTCTGATATCTTCTTCTATTTCTTTCTTCAGAGTCAACTCTGAGATTCCATCTTACACCTGTCAGAATGGCTAAGATCAAAAACTCAAGTGACAACATATGGTGGAGAGGATGTGGAGAAAGGAGAACCCTCCTCCTTTTCTGGTGGGAGTACAAACTTGTACAACCACTTTGGAAATAAATCTGGCACTTTCTCAGAAAATTGGGATAGTGATACTTCCAAGATCCAGCTATACCACTCCTGGGCATATGCCTGAAAGATGCTCCACCATTCAACAAGGACATTTGCTTAACTATGTTCATAGCAGCTTTATTTGTAATAGCCAGAATCTGGAAACAACCTAGAATTCCCTCAACAGAAGAATGGATACAGAAATTGTGGTACATCTACACAATGGAATGCTACTCCACTATTAAAAACAAGGAAATCATGAAATTTTCAGGGAAATGGATGGAACTAGAAGACATCATCCTGAGTGAGGTAACCCAGAAACAGAAAGACAGGCATAGTGTATACTCACTTATAGGAAGATATTAGCTGTAGCCATCTACAGACCTAAAGAAGCTAAACAGTAAGGAGGACCCTAGGGAGGATGCTTAAATCTCATTCAGAATGGCAAACAGGATAGACACCAGAAGAGGTGGAAGAGAGGAAATAGGATGGAAGCCTATGATAGAGGGTCCTCTGAAATGACTCACCCAACAGGGAATTGAAGCAGATGCTGAGACTTGGATCCAGCCTTTGGGTAGAGCACAGGGAGTCTTATGGAGAAAGAAAGGAGTGAGAATAGAGGGACATGGAGGAGCCAGGAGCCCCACAAGGAGACCAACAAAGCTAAAAGAGCTGAGCCCAGGAGGTCCTACAGAGACTGATGCATCAACAGAGGACCATACATGGAAAGGATCTAGACCCCCTGCTCAGATGTGGCCATTTGGCAGCTTGGTCATCATGTGGATCTCCGAGTGAGGGGAGTAGGGGCTGCCTCTGTCATGAACTCAGTTGACTGCTCTTTGATCACTCTTTCCTGATGATGCAGCCTTGCCAGGCCATCAAGGAAGAGGACCCAGGCAGTCCTGATGAGGCTTAACAAGCTATGGGAAGATGGCAATAGTGGAGAACTCCCCCTTTCAATGGACTAGGGGAAAGGGATGAGGGGAAGAGGGAGGGAGGGTGGGACTGGAGGAGTTGAGGGAGGGGGCTTTAATCGGGATATATAACAAATAAATTGTGAAAAAAATCAAAGTTAAAAGTAAATTTGTAAAAAGAAACAAAAAAAAGAAAGAAAGAAAGAAAGAAAGAAAGAAAGAAAGAAAAGAAAAGAAATTACCTGACTGAATTTCCACTGTGCTAAGTTAAGCATAATCATTCCCTCTTGGTTGAAGATACAGGTCAAGGATGGCCAACTCCTGCTCTCCATCAGGATATATATATATATTTATCTGTCATTCACATGATATTACTAGGCATAGGCCCTGTCAGTTATAGCAGGAAAAGTTCAGGATGTCTTTTCTGATCTGTTCATTCTGGTGAAGCTCCAGAAGCTGCTTATGTAGACTATGTAGAAATAGGTTGGCCTGTGGGGATACTGAGTCATAGTAGAGCAGGAAGGATGAGGATGGAACAGAAATTACATGGAGACAGTTTTTACTGATCTCACATCATAGCAACAACTTGAACATTGTTGCTCATTTAACTGGGAGCAGGACTTTTTGCAGTCACAGAACAAGTAGAATTTTCTAGAGATAGTGGTGATGCTACACTATGGGACCTGATCAGAAGATGGTCCATAACTTCATGAGCTTCTAACTGGTAGTAAAAGTGTCTGAGCAAAAAGGCTACAAGAGGCATGTGTCAAAGGGGATCTAATATGAAAAATATTCAATTAAATGTCTATCTTTTGGTTCCGTGGTAAAGTGTGGAGGACCGCTGTTTACCAAACATGGAAAGAATGCGCAGGGAGAAGGGTACCTGCAGAGGAATGTCTTGTGTGTTGTGTGGATGTAGTATCTGTCAATAAAAATCTGACTGACCAATTAGCTCGACTGAGAAAGAGACACGGAAGGCAGGACTTCCTGAACGAGGGTAGGGGAATTCTGGGAAGGAGAAGGAGGAAAGCTTTTTGCCAGGAGATGGACTTGACAGACCTGGGAAGCTAGCTGGCCACATGGCTGGATGAGGTAAGGTGAATGGGTTAACTTAGATGAGCTAGTTGAGAGTCTACCCAACTAAGGCCAAAGCTTTGAAAATTTTAAAAGGTCTTGGCATCTTTTTATAGTCTAAAGGCCACCCTTGGGGCTTAGGTTTTTCTTTACCAGGAGACCTGAGCTGATGGTCAGTAGGCACCAGCCTTTGCAGAAGTTCATCTGTGACAAGTGCTTAATGCTAGATAGTGTTACTGAGATGGGATGTTAGTTAGAAAAATCTTGGCATAAGAGCCTAGCTGGAGTGAACAGCTTGGAGGGACACTGGTCCTGTGATTGATTAGTAAGGTAAAAGCAGTGACTGGTCAAGGCTAACAGGACACACAGGGGTCCCAGAGGAAAGCAGACAGACAGCCAATCAGAGGCTGCTAGGTTTTAATAATTAATTTTAGATACAGGATTCCTGATGGGGAAGGAGGCTGACTGCTGCTATTCCTGAGAAAGCTGGGATCCCGGTTTAGGGAGTCAAGTGGTGGAGCATTCTTTACAGGGTGAGCAAGGTGACAGGCACGTTCGATTGCTCACTGACTCCCAGCTCAGCCTTGTTTAGGGTTACATCATGAAATCTGTCTGGAAACAACGGGACAGTGTGTGGATCCAGATGAGCAGGCCCTGGGTGTTCTGATCTGCTGTTAAAGTGCAAGGGCAAAGTGCCCAGGGCATAGTGGAGGGAGTGTAGGAGAATAAGGAAGGTAGTTTGTAGAGTGCGCAAAGCCCGGATAGAGGAGAGCGTCTGTGCTGGCTTCCTAGACGGACCACGCCATGCCCACCCCATCTAGTCACAGCACTCTAGGGGACTTCTGTTGGCCGCCATGACCTCCCCATTTCTTCTAGCCCCAGCCTCCCACCCTGCAGTAACTAATTTCTGTTACTCTCCTGCTCCTCTACAAGCCCTGGAAGGGTGTGGCCTCGAGACCCAGAAGGAACCCGAAGAAGTGATGGCTTCGGGGAACCCAGGAGCAGTCTCAAAGGGAGAGCCAGCCTCACAGTCACTGTGATACCTCTCGTCTTCACCTCTCCTTCCCATATCCCCCAGTCGGATCCCACAAACTCACCTACGGTGAGAGATGCGCACAGACAGCACAGCAGGACCAAAAAAAAAGTGTCAAAGTTCGATTGCGCTTGGAGACTGCAGCCCGGGCCATGGTTCCTCATTCCGTACCAAGCTGGCAGCAGGCATGACTGCCTTCAAGGGAGAGGAGAGGAGAGGAAGACTAAGTAATTCCTGCAGATGACTGCAGACTTCTCCAGAACCTGGGCCGAGAATTCAAGCCTTCCCCCTTTGTCTGCCTGCTAATTCCGTCCTTAGTCCCGTCTGCTCCTAGTCACTCCCGGGTCCCTGGGGGCTCTGGCCCCTTTCTTTCCAGACCTCCACAGTTCTTTTCTAACTCCTGCAGCACATGAGGTCGCTATTGTGAACTGACTGTCTACGGTCCTCCCAGGGCCTCGGAGGTCCCTTCCCAGAACTCACCTGTGCTCCAGGACCTTCCTTAGCAGAAGTGGGAGCAGAAGAATGGCGCTGGTCCCTCCCGCTGAGATCATTTATAACCAATAGCCCCGGAGGAGAAAACCGGTTAGATCAGCTCCGGGCGTAGCATGGAATTTCTGTGCTCTTCTGTAAGGGCTAAGACCCCGTCGTCCTCTCACTTCCATGCCGAAGTTCGCATATTCATCTTCAGAAGAAAGACAAGTCCGATTTGTTTTTAGTTTGTGAAATGCCTAGGTTTCCTCCCAAATACTGGCCAGTCTGAAATCAAGGTGAGTGAAGAAAGTTGTTACTGTACCGATAGCAACGCTGTGCATTTCCACTAAACTCTGTGACTTGGAAAATCTTCAGAAACCTTCAGAAAAGTGAGCGTGGAGTCCAGAGTCTTCCTTCAGCATCATTCCCCAGGGGCTAGGGATCTGCTTATTTTCTTTTCTTAGACTCACTTCTAAGTCCACAACACCTCACTGGCCACCTTTAAACTTAATTTAATTTTTGGAAAGCGAGTTCTAGGGACCACACTCAGGTCTTTCATATTTGCAAGGCAAACACCTTAACTAGCTAACTGCACCCCAGCCTAGGGGTTCCCTCTTCTTGAGAGTTCCTTTTCAGTGAGTTTTACACAGTGTCCATCCAGTCATTCATGCATCCACCCAGCGATCAGGCAAACACCAGACGACCTCAGGTGACTCTTTGAGGCTGAGTGAAAGGGAAATGGCCACACCCACAGGTGAGATGTCTCAGGCTTGGGTGGGTGGCCCCTGTTCTATGATCTTTCTCATCACCGTCCAGGGAGTTTTCAGTTCCTCCAAGTGGCCATGGACAGGATAATGTTCTACCTCTAAGTAGCTGAAACTGGGGCCTGTGAAACCAGACTAATTACTAAGTTAGCCACTTGTTTAACTTACATCACTCCTTGCACGAAAGATCACTTGCATAATACTTTTAACCCCATTCATTCCACAGGGAAGAGTCACCTGTAGTCACATGGGGATTGAGCAGGCTAAGTTTTCAAAATGCCACAATTGCACTATAATGCTTAAATTTCTGAAAGCTGTATCTGTAGCTCACATTCATTAAAATCATCTCTGGGTCTGGTTCCATGGCCTTCCTGCAGGGGAGGCTGGGGTGTCCTTGGCAGAAAGACAGAGTAAGCAGAGGCCCACCCTGGGCTGGCTCTCCTTTAGGGCTCTCTCATTCAACCTTCTGCCCTGTTCTTGTTCTCCCAGGGTCCTGCCTGCTTCACAAGCCTCGTGGACTGCCAAGTCTCTCTGCCATTACTGCCATCCTCAGGAGTTCCTGAATCCTTTAGGGACCTCTGACGAAGTTAAGCCAGATTTTTGGCTTCACCATAGAAAAGAATTTCAGGACAAGCGAGTCTAGAACAGAGTTGAAGTTAATTAAAAGATATTTTAAAGATGAGGGTCAAAAGAAAGAGGGTCTGGGAGGGAAGTCGAGAACTTAGGATATGGGTGTGGTCTTTTTAAAGCACCGTCATGGTTGCCATAGTAACCTGGACAGTTAAGTGAGGAACCTTCTCTTTGCTAAATGAACTCTTGATGTGGTTTCTGGGTTCACTGGCTGGAATCCAAGCTGATAAGTAAGAGCCTAGATCAAAGGAAGGGCAGGGCACCTGTAAAGAAAGATCCAATCTTGCTGTGAGAATCCCAGAAAGCCCTGGAAAGGAACAAGGCCATATTGGAAGATCACAGAAGAGTGGTCTTCCAGCAAGGCTCATTGCTTGTCTAACATTTTTAGTTGGAAATATATGTCTATAAAGAAATACTGTTAGGCTGGGCATGGTGGCTCATGCCTTTAATCCCTGCACTCCGGAGCAGAGCAAAGCAGATCTCTGTGAGTTTGAGGCCAGCCTGGTCTACAGAGAGAGTTCCAGGGCAGGCAGCCAGGACTGCACAGAGAAACCCTGCCTTGAGAAATCAAAATAAATGAATAAACTAAAGTTAAAATTAAAAGCACTGTCTCTGTGTTACATCCTTCACAGCAAATGGTGGTGCTGGTTATGACGGGTTTCATGACTCTCAGGTGGTGAGAGGCCTCAAGCACGTTCTTTCCTCCTCTGCACTCTAATTTCTCCCTGTCTCTCTATGCTCCCTTCTCTCTAGCTGCCTCTTCTCAGGGATTAACCCAAGGCGGTGACTCTGGTCTTACATACAGGAATGCCTTCCCTACAGACAGATCACCAGGCAGCCCTGATGGCCTCACGCTTGAGAATGGCCGCTGTGTGTTTCTTGTTGTTCTCTATTCTAGCCTCCAGATGGTGCTCCTGGGCAGACAAGCGAGCAGAAAGGGCCGGAACCCTCTGTGCTTGCCCTAAGTAGAGGCCGGCTCAGGGTTCACAGTAGAGGCCTTCTCTGCTTTCCTGGAGCCTGAGCACTGGGTGCTTGTAGTCAGTGCCTGCTGACCCTTCTTTTGTAGTGAGTGTGGGGAAAGTGTGTGTGGGCATTTTGCAGGGCTGGGGAGGGTGGTGGGCGGGTGTCGAGTCTACTTTCAACTACTGGGGAAATGGCTCAGTGGATAGGCACACAGTAGGCCTCAGGGGCACCCCTAGCCCTCTGTTCAGGCTAAGCTCTCCCGAGAATCCAGAGGCCACTGCATCCTCCAGTCCTTACATTGCTCCTGCTGCCCGCGTGGGGGCTGGGACAGGATGGCCTTGGCTGACCGTGAAGAGCTGAGCGGTTCCACGGTTCAGCTATTGCAAATGCTGCAGCGACGAACACGGGTGCTCGGACGTCTCTGCGGCAGGACTTAGGTAACTTGGGTATACGCTCGCGAGTATCTTTACTTTCCTGAGAAACCTGCATGCCGACTTCCACAGGGGCTGAGTCACTTTAGAGTTCAGCCAGCAGTGAGCAAGGTTCCTCTTCCCTCACGGCCTCGCCAGCGTTTGTTATTGTTTGTTTCCTAATGACAACTAGTTTCACCAGAGAATGAGTCTCAAGGAAGTTTTAGTTTGCGTTTCCCTGGAGGCTCAGGGTGTGGCACACCTTTTTAAAATGTTTACTGCTCTTTTGTGGTTCTGTTTTTTGGGAATGTCTGTTCGTTCCTTGATCGACTTATTAATTAGAAGGAGTGTGTATGTGCGCGCGCGCGTGTGCGCTTGTGTGTGTGACTCTGTAGTTCTTCATACACTCTTCAGCCCCTGTCTGAGGCAGAGCTGGCCCAGATTCCCCGAGCTCTGCGGCTCTCTCTACATTGAGCTGACTCTTCTCACTGTGCAGAAGCGTGTTAAGTTCATGCGATCTCCTTTGCCAGCCTAAGGGAATATATCTAAATAATTCCTATTTATCCTGTGGTATCCAAAACCTTTTTCATAAACTCCTTGTCCACGCCTGTATCTTCTGCCCAAGTTCTCCCCTCCCCTGGCAGTTTCAAAGCTTTTAGGTGTTGTAATAAGTTCTTTGGTCTATTTTTATTTGACTTTTATACCAGCCCATATGTGGCATATAACACGGGCAAGCATACTTTCTTAAAAATAACTTTTAAAAGCCGTGGGAAATATAGTTCAGAGAATGTGTAAAAGAGCATTTTGTCTGTTTTATTTATTTAGAAATGATAGATGCAACCCTTTATGCTGTCATTAAAGTTTTCCCCACGGTTCTCTGTGTATGGAGGGGGACAACCCCATGTAAAACTTGTAAATTTTTTTTTGTAACTATTTTTAAGCGCACAGTAAATACTGTTTGGAGACATTTTCACAAATACTGGTGGAGACATTTTCTCAATTGAAGTTCTTCATCCCAGATAACTCTAGGTATGCCAAGCTGACAAAAACTTAACATGGACAGGCAGCTAGGTGTCCTGTAATTTGTCATGACCATACATGAGAGCTAATCCAGAGTCCTATTCAAGAGAAGACTTGGCTAGATATAAAATTATTTCCTTTTTTAGGAAGACTACTCCTCCGTTTTCTTGCTGCTGGGGAACCTAGCTGGAGGCTTTGAAAATAATCAGGCTGAAGCTGTAGTTCAGTGGCAGAGCATTTGCCTAGCATGTGCAAGTGCCTGGGTTCAGTCCCTGGTTTGACAAAGAATTTGGAGCAGCAATCCAGAAAACTATGTTGTGGTGGTTTGAATACGAATGGCCCCCACAGGTCATTGTTTTAAAGGCTTGATCACCAGGGGATGGTGACCAAGGAAAAGATTGGAAGAAAATGTGGTGGGGGTTGGGGGGTGGGCTTTGAGGTTTCAGAAGCCCAAGCCAAGCCCAGTGGCTCTCTCTTCCTGCTGTCTGAATATGTGGGTATAGAACTTCTCAGATCCTTCTCTAGGACCATGTCTGCCTGTGTGCTGCCCACTGGGCTGATAATGACTTAAACTTCTGTAACTATAAACAAGGTCCAGTTAAATGCTTTCCTTTCTAAGAGTTGCTGTGGTCACGGTGTCTCTCCACAGCACAAAACAGTGACTAAGACAAATGATTAGTGCCAGTCAGAGAGTTGGAGGAAGATTTAATCACCCTCCTCCAGTTTTCAGAGTTGGCGCCTTGTGGCTGATTCTTTTTCTTTAGTTCAGCTGTCGCTTATCTCTTCTTATCCTACGTTTTGTAAAACCTGAGCGTATTGAGATTATAATACGCAGATCATACTTTGGAGGAGCATCATTAGAAACAGAGCTTGCTCACTGAACGCGGTGCCAGCTTTTGGTTTTGCGTGGTGTCTCCGCCAGCACTGCCAGGCCTGAACGGTGAGCAAACATGTCTAAGGGACCGGCAGGTGGCATTGATCTTGGCACCACCTACTCCTGTGTGGGTGTCTTCCAGCATGGAAAGATGGAAATAATTGCCAATGACCGGGGTAACCGAACCACTCTGAGCTATGTTGCTTTTACAGACACAGAACGACTAACTGGGGATGCTGTGAAAAATCAGGTTGCAATGAACCCCACCAAGACAGTTTTTGATGCCAAACTTCTGATCGGACGTAGATTTGATGATGCTGTTGTTCAGTCTGATATGAAGCACTGTGAATGATGCAGGCAGGCCCAAGGTCCAAGTAGAATACAAAGGAGAGACAAAAAGTTTCTACCCAGAGGGAGTGTCCTCTGTGGTTCTCACTAAGATGAAGGAAATTGCAGAAGCCCACCTGGGGAAGACTGTTACCAATGCTGTGGTCACAGTGCCAGCTTACGTCAATGACTCTCAGCGACAGGCAACAAAAGATGCTGGAGCTACCGCTGGCCTCAGTAGACTTCGAATTACCAACGAACCAGCTGCCGCTGCGATTGCTTATGGTCCGGATCAGAAGGTTGGAGCTGAAAGGAATGTGCTGATTTTCTACTTTGGCGGTGGTACTTTCGATGTGTCAATCCTCACAATTGAGGATGGAATTTTTGAGGTGAAATCAACAGCTAGAGACACCCACTAGGGTGGAGAAGACTTTGATAACCGAATGGTCAACCATTTCATTGCTGAGTTTTAATGAAAGCACAAGAAGGACATCAGTGAGAACAAGAGAGCTGTCAGGTGTCTCCATACTGCCTGTGAATGGGCTAAGCGCAGCCTCTCCTCCAGCACCCAGGCCAGTACTGAGATTGATTCTCTCTGTGAGGGAACTGACTTCTATACCTCTGTTACCCATGCTCGATTTGAGGAATTCAATGCTGAGCTGTTCCATGGCACACTGGATCCTATAGAAAAGGCCCTTCGAGATGCCAAACTTGACAAGTCACAGATTCATGATATTGTTCTGGTCAGTGGTTCTACCAGAATCCCCAAGATTCAGAAGCTTCTGCAAGACTTCTTCAACGGAAAGGAACTGAATAAGAACATTAACCCCGATGAAGCTGTTGCTTATGGTGCAGCTGTCCCGGCAGCCATTTTATCAGGAGACAAGTCTGAGAACGTTCAGGATTTGTTGCTGTTAGATGTCACTCCTCTTTCCCTGGTGTTGAAACTGCTGGTGGAGTCCTCATCAAGCGCAATACCACCATTCCTACCAAGCAGACTCAGACTTCCACCACCTACTCTGACAACCAGCCTGATGTGCTCAGTCAGGTGTATGAAGGTGGAAGGGCCATGATTAAGGATAAAAACCTGCTTGGAAAGTCAGACTCACAGGCATACCCTCGCACCCCGTGGTGCCCCTCAGACCGAAGTCACTTTTGACATCGATGCCAGTGGCATCCTCAATGTTTCTGTTACAGATAAGAGCACAGGAGAGGAGAGCAAGATCACCATCACCAATGACAGGGGACGTTTGAGCAAGGAGGCCATTTGAGCACATGGTCCAAGAGGCTGAGAACTACAAAGCTGAGGATGAGAAGCAGAGAGATAAGGTTTCCTCCAAAAATTCGCTGGAGTCCTATGCCTTCAACATGAAAGCTACAGTTGAAGATGAGAAACTTCAAGGCAAGATCATGATGAGGATAAACAGAAGATTCTAGAAAAGTGTAACAAAATCATCAGTTGGCTGGATAAGAATCAGACTGCTGAGAAGGAAGAATTTGAACACCAGCAGGAAGAACTGGAGAAAGTCTGCAGCGCCATCATTACCACGCTGTACCAGAGGGCTGGTGGCATGCCTGGAGGGATGCCTGGCACTTCCCTGGCGGGGAGCGCCTCCATCTGGGGTGCCTCTCCAGGCCCACCAAAGAAAGATTAAGATTAAGAGGCGTAGCATTGTTCCCCAGGGAGACATTTGAAGGACCCACATTTAGCAAGTTACATGGCAGTTTCAAATCTAAGCTGCTACAATAAATTCCTGGGCATTCTCAATACTTGAACATGGAGAGGAAATGGTAACATTGTACTTTATAAGCACTGTATCCTAAATGAAAAATGCAATTTCTCAAAAACAGGTGGAAAATGCAATGTCTAATTAAATATTTAAATTGGCACCATAGAAAGAAAGAAAGAAAGAAAGAAAGAAAGAAAGAAAGAAAGAAAGAAAGAAAGAAAGAAAGAAACAGAGCTTGGTGTGGTGGTATACTTCTGTAAT